ACGAACATTAGTAAGACGTTTAGAACAGCTAGAACAAAAAATAATTGCAATCCACGTACTATAGATTCTCTCCCCCCCCCCCGATTGTAATAAGGGAAAACATAGCCAAAGCGGCAAACTTTGGCCTGTCGTGGGTAAAAACAGGTGGCCTGCCGCCCCACCACAGGTGAAGAGTTCATCTATTTTTAGCACAGTCCCGCCTGGTAGTTGGTTGTGGCCAGAAAACGTCATATGGCATGGACGTCATTGCACGAACGCGATCAACAGTCGAAGCTCAACAACGTTGATGCCGAAACATGTAGCGTTAGGCTACTTGCAAGTACAAGGATTGGAATTTAACCAGATCTTTCCATTAGCCCCCCTTTTCAACTGGATGCATAAAGGTAAGGATGGGTTCACTCAGTAGCACACACAGGCCCTCATTTATAATATAATGATGAAAAATTTCTACGAAGATCCGTGGAAAATCCGTACGAAAATAAAAAAATGAAATTCAAATGATAACGATAACATTATTAATTAAAAACCTGACTTAAAATTAATAAATAAATTTGCTTGTTTGATATAGAACGAATTCCTAAATGTGTTCGCAATTTTAAAGCTCAAAGCTAACATGCACACTGTGACACTCATGTATGGCTCATGCCATCATGGCATTGGACGTCTATCACTTCATTTGACTCCTTTCTTTTTTGTGTCTGGTTCAGCAAAAAGAAGTCTTCTCACTGCAAAGTCTCTTCCTCTACTAATACTACTAGAATCTAGATCAAGATCTAGATCTAGAAAGACCTGGTTACTGTACAGACCAGATTCTTGATTTTGTCTTTAGCACTTTAGTTTTAGCGCGGGGCCTTTGCTTTTGTAGGCATACTACGGGCGAGAATGAGAAGCGCTTTTTCCTTCCCGAGCGAGAAGACTGAGAAGCTGACCTACTTCTCGCCCGGTCCCGAGAAATGCTTCTCGTGTCGTGTCCCGAGAAATGCTTCTTGTCTCGTGACCAATTTCTCTTCTCGCCCCGCAGTACGGGCAATTAGCTTATCGAGAAGGACGGTCGTGGCCGGGATCTAAACTAGGCTAGCCCTGTGACGCAGGCGGTGAAGGAAGGTAGGGAGATCTAGGCCTAGGCCCTGATCAACTCCCCACTCGCCTCGTCTCGCCGCCCTCTCCCCTCGCTTTCAGTGTCACACACAGGACAGCACGGTGATGGGTGGCACTGTCTGCGTGTCATTTCTCGCCTCTCACTTTCGTTACTGTTACTCGTTATGTCTAGCCAACAAGCAGTATCACTTCTCGGTACCGGGCAGTAGTTTAGTGCCCGGGCAGCGACGGGAAGTGCATTTCTCGTGAGAAACGAGTACTCGGCTCGTCTCGTGCCCGCCCCTAGCCTGCGTTCAATACCTGTGTGGCAGACCCGATTTAGTTGGGATATCCCGATTTTTTGCCCCAAATCTCAAGCATCCCGATTTTCCCGATTTCGTTCACGTGTATCCCAATTTTTTGTCCCAGTCTGCTGTTGTGCAGGATCTTTCTAAAAACTTACTCTGCCTTCTCCTTTATCGCTGGAAGCACACGATGAACTTTTTGTCAGTGGGAACTCGGAGCACTATTTCCCGAAATATCGATGCCGCATTTAGTAGTTGACTCGCCCCAAGTTGTGTGTGATCTTTGCCTGCACTCAGAATTCTCCGATGATAGCCTGGTAACTGTTACAATTTGGGACATTTAATAATCGATAATGTTCGTAGTTCCGCTGTTACTTTCAATCAAAACAAGCCTTGTCGGAGGTCTGGTAACTGCGCGTTCACATCAAACACTCGGACGAGCGACAGTCTTTCTAACCCTTACACAACTACATGTAACTGCGCTGACAAGACTAACGTACGGCCGTTGTCGTTGCTTTTGTCTGAACACATGAGGGATTTAAATAGATTTGTTGGTACATTTGGTCGGTCGGCCGCCGTCGTTATCCTAGAAGTAGAACGACTGTCGCTCATACAAGTGTTTGGTGTGAACGCGCAGTTAGTCGGACCCGTTAATAAAATTGTTTCGATCACGCATTCGCGTGACGTGACATATCTTCGCCGTGTGACTTCTGCGTGTCGGGGACCGTCCGTTGACGGGGTCAGCTTAAGTTCATGGCCACCTCTATTCTCTCCCGGAGTGAGAATAGTGCAGGCGAGTCTTGTGGCTATTCTCACCCGGTGCGCGTTCACCAAATTTTGCGTTCAACCTAAACCACAGAATTCTACACTGTGATAACAGAAAAATTGTAGAATTCTGTGCCGTGAACAAACGTTCCATTACAATTGTAGCCTACTAAAAGCGTACAATTTTGTCTGTGGGCAGTGGAGAGAGAGAGAGAGGAGTAGCGCGAGAATTTCCGGGCAAAACAAAATGGCGACCCGCGTAGTTCGGCTCGATTCGAAAAGTTAAATAGGCGTAGCATCTTTGTAGACAACCAAATTAATTTACTTTTGTGTTTTAACATCATTTTTTAACTTTGTTTTGGTCAATTTGATCGTCCACACCGATAGACAGTATTCAGAAAGAGACAGAGAGAGAGAGAACTTCCGGGCGGGTGAGAATAGCCACTTTCTAAGTTCATGTATTTCGGGACTTGTTGGGAGGGGGGGGGGGGGTATAGACTCTAGAACTAGGAGTGCTTGAAGCGATGCTTTTACAGGATTTACAA